ACAAACTACAGAGGGAACTAGTCACATCCTTCACCTTTACCCAAACTTACAAATAAATATTTCAGCTGCTGTGACCTTGTGGCAGGAAAAACTCAGGGTGGGAATGAAGTCTTCAATATTTTCCTTTTCTTTGTTTGTGGTGAAGGACTTGACTGACTCTCCCATGCAGTCCTGTCCTCCCCCTTAATGGATCTTTTCACTCTGGTTTTGGGGGTTTTTTTCATGTTGATAGGGACATTGCCCTGTAGATTTTGGGGAGCAGGGCATACTGGGAATAACAGGGAGGACCAGGGACTGGATAAGAAATATTTGTGAATCACTTGTTCACCCTCCAGCCTGTCTTCTCTCACGCCCTCCCCACTTTCTCTATTTTTTTTGTTCCAAGTCCATTCCCCCTTGAATTCTTTTGTTTCCTGGAATTAAGCAATTAATAAGATCAGAGTTTTGGTTTTTTTTCCTCTCCACAAGGTTTGTCACGTGCCTCATCAAACTTAGAGCAACTTGCAAAGAAAATACCCTCTATGAGCTGTTTAAATGCCCTTCATGATTCCCATCTAGGGCACCCAGTATCTTTGCTTTGCTGGTGTGCCCAGTGTCCTGGAACTGATAGGAGGGGACAGAGGAAGAAAAACCTGGGGAGGTGGGGGAGGAGGATGGGGGGCAGACAAATAGAAAATGCTCAGGCAAAACAAGAGACAAAACAAGTTCCCCCACGCCCATTCTTTTTCTTTCTCTACTTCCAGTATAAGAAATACATCCACAGACAAGGTCATTTCTAAGAGGAGGTTTTCCCCTCCAATTTTTTCCCCCTTGTAAGCTGGGACCAGTGCCTGTGCATGCAAGTGTGGGTATGCATAAGCAGGAGAGGAAGCTTACCTATGAAAACTAGTAGGCACCGTCTCTGGGGATTCCTGCTGCCAGGTAAGATTTGGCTTTTCTTCTTCTCTTCGTTGCTTCACTTTCAATAGAGGATGTCTTTTAGCTGAAAGGGTTCCTGGGTGAACTGTGTCCACCCAGCCCAGCAAGTGCAGCTCCAGTGCCTGTGGGCTGACACACAGCAAAGGCATGGCTAAGGAGGCTTACTGCAGAGTGGAGGAGTTTCCAGAGGGGGGAAGGATGTTTTCTCATTGCCTGGAGTTTGGATGAGTGGAGGGGCACTTCAGGAACTGCCTGGAGGTGCCTTAGCCTGCTGAATGCATGCTCAGGAACAGGTCTGCCTCTGGACCTGACCATCAGGCACAGGTCCACATGCCAGCTCTCAGGACGGTGAGTGCCACTGCCACGCAAGCTGTGTCACAGGTGAGCTCTGGACGTGCTTTTGGTGGGATGGAAAGCAGAGCCACCAGAGAGGGCTCCCACACCCCAGGCAGCTGGAGCCAGGGATGGAAGGAGGGGTCTGAGCCCCAGCTGTGAGTCCAGGAGACATTCAGGGACAAGGTGTGGGCACAGGCAGGGTGTCACCCACCTGGACTTACCCAGTTGTTGTAGGTGTGATGAAGCACAACTGGAGCACTGCAGTGGATGGTCACAAACTCTTCAGAAGGGACAGGCACAGAGGGAGAGGCAGTGGGGTAGCACCATTTGATTTCTAGAGCTTAATGACAGTACCAACAGGGACAGCTGTCTGTGGGTAGGAGTCAGTGGAAAGGCCAGCAAGGTAGATGTGGCAGTCTGCTAGAAATACAGCACAGCAGAGAGGAAGTGAGGTCTAGGAGGTTCCTGCCGTGAGGAGGAAAACTGCCTGACACAGCTGGTGACAGAGGTAACGAGGGCAGGTGTCCCACTTGACCTGTTTGTTGACTGAGAAGGACTGGCAAGTGATGTGGCACTTGCAGGCTGTCTAGTGTCACAGTGATCATGAAATGAAAGAGATTTAATTCTTGGACAAGTAAGGAGGGGAGTTCAGCAAGCTGCCACTTTGGTCTTCTGGAGGGAAGGTCTGGTTGACGGAGTTCCTTGGGAGGCAGTTCTGAGGGACAAAGGGTTCAAGGAAGGCTGGACACTGTTCAAGAAAGAAATCTTAAAGGTGCAGGAGCAGACCAATGGGATCATGTCCTGTGTCAGCAATAGTGTGGCCAGCTGGACCAAGGCAGTAATTGTCCCCTTGTACTAAGCACTTTGAAACCACACCTCAAATCCTGTGCTCAGTTCTGGGCCCCTCACTGCAAGGACTTTGAGATGTTGGAATGTGTCCAGAGAAGGGAGCTGGGGAAGGGTCTGGAGCACAAGTTCAGTGAGGAGCAGCTAAGGGAGCTGGGAGTGTTTACCATGGAGAAAAAGAGTCTCAGGGCCTTATGCTCTCTACAGCTCCCTGGAAGGAGGCTGTAGTGAGAGGGGGGTCAGGTTCTTCTGAGTAACAAGCAATAGGACAAGAGAGAACAGGTTCAAGTTGCACCAGGGAGGTTTAGATTGCATACCAGGAAAGTCTTTCCTGGAAAGGTTGTCAAGCACTGGAATGGGCTGGCCAGTGAAGTGTCTGAGTCACCATCCTTGGAGGTATTTAAGAGATGGGTGGATGTGTCACTCAGGGACAGAGTTTGGTGGTGGACCTCTCAGTGGTGGGTCTATAGATGGACTCAATGATCTTAGGGGTCTCTTCCAACCTAAGCAATTCTATGATTCTATGATTACATTTTCCTGGCATTCCTGCCATGTTTGGAAAGGAAATGCTTAGACATTCTCTGTCCTCATTTTCTATGTCATAGAGAAATATAGTATCCCAGATATGGCAACAACCTGAGGTTATCACTATACCAAATTCAGTAAGAGACCATCTTTACCATCCAGGTATTTACCTGGACAAAACCAGAGATGTCCCTCACCTCCCACTGGAACTGGCAGTCTGTATTTGAGTGGAAAATTTGTGATTGCAGTGAAACAGCCCTGTGTATTCTGGTTGCACTGAAGAGGAAGGATCAAAACTAATAGTGCAGTTTGCTGTGGTTCCACTGGGCACATTTCCCTGTGCTCTGTGTTGTGTTAAATGTTTCCATCAGAGGCATTGTCAGGGCAACCAAACTGATGTTCTGAGATACATGGCTGAAGGTGGCTCTGAAAACTACCAACCTCCTTAAAGCCATGCCACAAGAGCAACTGGGGATATATTAAAACCTGTAGAGCCTGCAGGGATATCAGGCCTTCCTTGCACTCTTCAATTTGACAGTCAGAAAATAAATGTTACCAATTTTTGTCCTGTAATCATTTGAGCATAAGTTTAGTTTAAGCTCTGCTGCCCATCTGAGATCTGTTTCAGCTCAGAGGAACACAAGCTTGCATGCTGCTGTCAAACATCAGTTTGTCATATTCACACCACCACAGCAAATTTTTTTTTGTGTTCTGACCAATCCTACATATGTGGTGCAGTGGAGGAGACCCTCTGCACCTCTGCCACACCTACTCTAGCTGGAAGTTGCTTTGCTCAGAGATAAAGACAATTCATTTCGCTGTGGTGCACATGGTTTCCCTCTTTCAGGCTTCGGGTTTTTTTATTCCAAAATTGCTGTAAATATGCAGAGTATTTCAAACCTTACAGAAGAGGCTATTTGATGTGCTTACATGGCAGCACCCCTTATGTGATTGTCATAAAAGAATTTATCCTCATGCAAGTCCTGTGAGGTACATGCTGTCTTTCCCAATTGTACAGGTTCAAAGGTGGGACAGAGAGAGACTATTCTTAGTGTGCTTTTTTCCCAAGACACCAAGAAAATCAGAAGCAGAACAGGAATAGGTGCAGTAAGCGTTTAGCAAGCACAAAAATATTTTTTAATTGAAAAAAAAATCTCACTACTCTTTAGTGTTGACAAGAAAATACATTGGAGTTCCTGTCAGGACAGTGTGAAATGCAAATATTTCTCTTATATGTAGTCATACCTCTTATTTTAAATGATGGAGAGATCTCAGTGAAAATTTTGGTGCCACAAGCAAAGTCCTTTTGTCTTGCTCATACATGAACAGAGCCTATGAGCAAAACTTGGCATCTAAAGATATACTTTTGTTATTTTCACTTGTACTTCTTGTGATAAAACAAGTGCTTGTTTGGGAAGCCATGAAAACACATGTATCCAGAGTATATACATATACATAAAACCATATGTATTTTTAACTTATCTAAGATCTCTGTCTTCAGAGAAACATGAAAGAACAGGAACTTTTCCTATTCATATTTTCAGGCAGCAATTCTGTGAAAGTGCTAGGACTTTTAGGACTGCCTAAAACACAGAAGCTGATTTCATAAACATTTTCAGATCTCATTTAGAGATTGAAATTAAGAACAAAGTACTGCAGTATGTAACCAGAGATTTAAGAATTACTGATATCTTTTGTTTTCGAAGTGCAGTATTTAGGTTTTCTTTACTTCTTTGTATTTACCTGAAAAGAAGCAAATTCACATTTTTCCTGAAACCACTGAGCTCTAAGACTCTATGTAAAATGGTAAAGGGAACTAAACCTCTTTATTCTTGTGTAACTCATTAGCTAACATCAGACGATTAGAGCTAATGTTTCCATCTAAAACAATTCAAGTGCCTCATTAACGGGGATAGATTTCCTTTGATCTAATTACTTCATGTCCCAGATCTATGGGAAATTCAGAGATCAGCACTGAGAAATCTCTGCAGACCTGGTCACATCTAGAAACGTGAATTTACATGTAGACTTCAGAAATGTTGTTTAAAATGATAATGAGCCTTGTTTAGTCTGCTGGCCACACTTGGACAAATGTTTAATGAAATCACATTGATGATAGCTAGAGAATGAAGATGATGGCTGTTTGCTGAGTATGATTTAATCTCCATTATTATAGGCAAGTGGATTGCAAATTTCCATAATTAAACATCCAGTGCAATGGGCAGATTCTGTTGTAAAGTTTGGTAATTGCTGTTGTTGGGAAAACAGTCCAGCGGGGTGTTGCTGTCACATGATGAGCTTTTGAGGCTGAGCTAATAGGATGCCCTTTTAAAGTGTTCTCCATGTTTTCTGCTTTAGAGGCAGAGGATACCATCATGGAGATTTCATCAAAAGAAAATACTCACTTTTTCTCAAACAACACAGTCTTGCCTGTGGACCGGTCTTCATTCAAATCTGAATCATCCGCATCCAAGGAAAAACAGTCGTGTTGTGGAGGTATAAAGGTAGAGTACAAGTCTTTGAATATTCCTGTAGGGACTTAGAAAATTTCTCTTTTTTTTCTTTTTTTTGGGGGGGTTTGTTTGTTTGTTTGTTTGAGTTTTTTTCTTTTGTTTTGTTTTTTGGGTTTTGGTTTTTTTTATGAATGATCCCTTTATATGTTCTGATTATGTCATGCTGAGTCAGTATAAAATTATTCAAGGTATTTCTAAGGCACAAGAAAATCTTCTTCAGATATGTATTTGCTTAACGTTTGGCAGTCATCAAATATCATTTGTTGGCTGAGGCTCTCATATTATAAGAACTTCAGGACCCATCCTAAAAAGTCCCTCTATCTTCTTTATTGCTCCACCTGAAGCTGGTAGCAGAGCAGTGGCAGAGAGATTCCACAGGCAGCTGTCAGTACAGATTGCTTTCCTAAAATAGAAGCCATGGTGGTCTCCTGGGCTCCCCCAAAGTAATATTGTATTACAGTCCGTGTGTTTCGAGTGCTGTATTATTAAAGCATCATTGTAATGTTCCTCACTCAAGAGAACTCTGCATGAGGTGACTTTGAAATGAAACTAGAAGTATTTCTGCTTTATCTACATTTCTCTCACCCACAAGAAGTTTTTCCTGGACACGATGGGAGGTCCCTGCTTTGAGCCTCACAATGCAGCTGTGCCTACCTACACCTCGGAGGAGCATTGTTCCCTGTTTGGGACACAGGTAGAGAGCAGGCAGCACAAAGCTCTGCCTGCTGCCTCTACCTGATTTCCAAAATGCTGACCCTCTTTATGAGGTCTCAAAATCACCATACAATGGTGAGATAATTTGAGTTACACAGAAAATGAGTCTTCAGCCTTGCCCCGTTCTTTTCATCGTACACAGTCTTTATTTCTGTTGGTTTTGCCCCTCACTCAAACACACATCTACATTCAGATATTAATCCAGCCCCATACATACTTTCCCTGAAGTCTATAAATTTTAAATGGTTTTGTTTTGAAATAGAAGATGAGTTGTATTAAACAGATGTTGCACCATAATATAATTCTATCATTGCTTCTCCATTAGCTATAATGATAATCCAATCCCTCAATGAATAAAACTTCAGTCACAGATTAGCCAGTCAGGAATCAGCTTATTAACTCCATAAACAGAAAAGCAATAATATTTCAGTGGAGTTTCTTTCTCTTTAAAGAAGTTGTGTCTTCTGGGAACCCAAACCAATATAACTAATGTATTCCTGTAAGAACTTAGAAAACCTCTCCTTTTTTTTGGTGAACTAACCCTTTTTAGTTCTGATTAGGTCTTGCTGAGTCTGAATGAAATTATTAAAGGTATCTCTAAGTCATGAAGAAATCTGCTTCAGGTTTTGCCTAATGTGTCTAGAAAATAATAAGCAGATACAACAGGTTATTTTTACCAATTATCAACCTTCATTATTAACCCTCCTATGTCTTAAAATTGCCTTTATTAATCAGAAAGATGTGGTGAAATATCTATTCACATGCACTGACAAACCAGAGAAGAATGTGAAATTATGTGTACCTTCCTGTCCCAGACCTAAATCAGGAATGTCTTTCCACCTCTGCACACCTGGGACAGTTGCAAACACAGTAAAAAAAATTGTGCCAAGGACATTCAGAAACATTTTAAATTGTAGTTTACCTATACAATTATCCTGTAAAACAAAAAAAAAAAAAGTGCTTTCACATTGCTGTTTAAAATCCAAGGGCATAAATATACAGAAAATATAAAATATTGTGACAATATTTGTACTAGAGAGTTCTTTCAGAGCTGCTGCTGTAGGAAAAAAGAACCAGAGAGGTGTTGTATATGTTTATTTACCCACAACTGTTTCTGAAGAAGGGATAACTAGCCCTGGATAAAGTGTGTGACACAGATATATTTGAACCTTAACACAAGAATTTGCATCCAGCAGTGAAGTGATTACCTCTGTGCCTTGTCAAATGAGATGTTGTAAGGAGATCTGCACAGGAGGTGAGTGCATTGCTCAGGGCACCTGCTTACTGGGAATGCGATTGTCAGAGAGGATGAAGAAGCAGCACAAGGTTCTAGACTTCTATTCAAATAAAACCCTAACATGTCTCTTAATTTCTGGGACTGGGTTTTACAGAAAGCATCTGTATTCATATTCATATTGAGTCACCAGCCCTATCTGAAGGTAGAAAGCAATGCTGTGCTTTCCATGACCAATTGCACTGTGTGTAAATATCTGTGGAGAACAGAAACTCAACTGGGCTGCATTCAGTGAGGGCAAATTTAGGCAGTAGAACTGCAGGAGCAAAGAGTCTACTCTAAGGACCCTGTGCTCCTACTACATGCATTTCAGACAAACCCTCATCTTCCAGTTGAATTTTGTGGTAGAGGGGCTCAGTCTGCCCCTTTGAAGTATATACCAAAGCATTGTGATGAGAAATGGAGTTTAATTTCCAAAGCCCACTCCTGATACAGAAGAACATGCCAAAACAGATATAGTGATAGCTACGAGAAAACCATCTCTGCAAAACAGAAGGATGGGACAAGGCTGTCCCCAGCAAATGCAAGGTGCACTCTGAGGAAGATGCATGTGTTAGAGATTGGAAGGGATCTTGTAGGAGAAGGTTGATCCTAGAAGAGAATTGCCTGGCAGGTCATTGTTCATCTCACAGAGTATGTAACATATTTCAAATTGTTAATAAACTCACCTCCCCACCAAGCCACACGTAGCTTTTCCCCATATGGTTACTGTGTAAGACACTCCCTCCTGAGAAAATCACAAGTTTCTGTCTTTCAACAGAGAAGTAGCTTTGGCTTCTACCTGAAATTAGCAATGGTTGAGAGTCAATTAAGTTTTTATCAATAATGCTCATAAGAGATGAAAAAATCTGCAGTCTAGCATTTAATAAGAAGTAGGAGAAATAATTGGTTTGGCTATTTGGCAAAAAGGAGGTAGGAATGCAGAACTTGTTTAAAAATAATTTATATATCTTCTGTAATCAGACTGCCTGATTTTAATCACTATGATTTTATTTTTTTTTTTTCACAGATATTTCTTGTTGCATTGTCTTTTGTTTATTTTGCTAAAGCACTGTCAGGAAGTTATCTAAAAAGCACTATCACACAAATAGAAAGAAGATTTGACATCCCTTCCTCTTTGGTTGGTGTTATTGATGGAAGTTTTGAAATTGGTATGTGCTGTAGAAACCCATTTTTATTTTCAGAAAAAAAAAAGAGTGATGCAATTTGTTGTGAAGAATGATTGTATGAATCTCCCTGAAGCATAAAACTGAGAAAGACTCAACAAGTAAAGATAAGTGGAACCATCAGTATGATTATGTTCCACTGGATAAGGTTGCTAATACAAGCAATTCAGCACAGACATTACAAAAATGTAATTTGATGAGCTAAACATATGGCTAACTCATACTAATAGACATTTTGAGTGTTGAAGGAGAATTTGCCTGCACAGATTTCTGCAGGCAGAAATCTATCACCCCTACAAGTGTTTGTCCTTTGTGATTTATTAAGCAGCTGGAGGACAAACCTCTAACTACTGTAATCTACATTTCTTGTCTGGTCCCTCTCTTTCACTCTCACACTAAGGTTTCCAGCATGTCATTGTCTCTTACAATTTCAGAATACTGAGTTTATCTCATGGGTGTTCAGTGGTCTGTGGTACTCATAGGAATGAAATCTTAATTTAAGTGTATAAAACTGTTTGATTCCTCTTTTTTCTGCTTTTCTGGTTATTTGCTCTCTTCAGCTGGCACAGTCTTTCTCCTCTTTTCCAGCTGTTTATCCAATGGTTTATGGTTTTCCTATCACAGAAGTCATTGGGCTCCTGTAGGATGCCTGGAAAGAAGGAGAAAGACCAACCCCATCAGCCCTGCCTCCCTGAAATCAGTGCCTATACTAAATACTAGGAACTGTTATTTTAGGGGATCTTTTATCAACAAGTAGTAAAACTCCGTTTTCCTTTTGTACTCTCAAAGGGAACCTCCTGATCATAATTCTAGTGAGCTACTTTGGAGCAAAGCTTCATAGGCCAAGAATAATTGGAGCAGGCTGCTTAATTATGTCAGCTGGAACATTCCTAATCGCAATGCCCCAGTTCTTCATGGGACGGTAAGTGCAAAGTGATCAGTGTTTTCCAGCTGGGCTGTGCACACTGAATGGCAGCTCACTAAAATATTTAGGCATTGATTATGAAGATAGAAATAGGCACATGGGGATGCAGTCACTTCATTTAATTTATTTTTTTTTTTTTGTGAAGATATTTATTACTGTAGAACAAATAATTTAATGTGTACACTATTTTCAGTTGTAATCAACTAATTTTTTTGTTAGTCTCTGATCTTGATTGGTCACATTTTGATGTGGTTTAGAAATTGTTAAAATGTCTTTAAAGAAGTGATGATGACACTCAGGAAGACAATCTGAGTACCAATCACAAGCCAGAGGATACACCAGTGTCTGATAATCTCTTAGTCCAAATTCATGGATCATGGTAGAGCAAAGTGCCTGCTAAACTGAAATGAATCACTGACTCAGAAAGAACCAATGGGACCATTTTCATGTACAGCTGCAGTGTAAATAGAGCTCTGTTTATCCCCTGTAAACTACCACTGGCAATGGATCCAGATGGATTCATATGGATGCAGAAGAAATTTGCATTTAAGTACTACAGGCCTATTTGGTAGCTACAGATCTGATTGCTTTTTCTTATCAGTACTTATGAATAAATACAACTCTGTTTTCTAAACAGATACCGGTATGAAAGATTCCCTTCCACCATCAATTCGACTGTTAGCCTCTCTCCATGTCTGCAGGATAAAAGCCAAACTCCACTCTCAGCCTTGGAGAAACCTCAAGCAAAAATAAATGCAGGTGAGAATGATCTCTGTTAAATCTCGGGGCTGGTAGTGCTCACTATGATTAATGTTTCCCAAATCTCTCTGTCAGGAAATCCCAGTTTTGGTTAGAAGGAAGTGAAAGTTTTCTAAAAAGGGATGTGGCAGCAAATTGTAAAGAAAATTGTAGTATCCTTGAGGCAGCTCATGGCAAAAAATTGTCTACTTCAAGCCACTTCACAGTTTTCCAACTGTTTCTCCCACAACAGAAGTATTTTAGAAGCCCTGAGCTTTCAGTGTCAAACTCTTACTATAAACACATAGTTGTTGTCTCTTGTTATCTACACAGGGTGTGAAAAGGAAGCAGGCTCCTACATGTGGATCTACGTTTTACTCGGAAATCTTTTGCGTGGAATAGGTGAAACCCCCATCCAGCCCCTGGGAATTGCATACATTGATGATTATGCTCTTGAAGAGAATGCTGCCTTATATATTGGTAAAATAAATATTATTTCTTTTTCCTAATGGATTCTTCCCCAGAGGAAACTGAGTCACTCTCAATAACGGAATGAATGAATTAACTTGCCCTGATTGTTTTGTTTGCATAATTTCCAATATTAAAGTTTATTTAACAGTCATGTACACTCAAGAGACCAAGTTCCCATTTAATTATACCAGCACAGTTCCATTATCTTAATTTGGTAAAAGAATTTGACCTTGGGTTCCTGCTGTTACCCTAATCTTTCTAATTCTTCTGGATGTGGACTGCTGAGCCTCTGCACATTCAGTTCTCTGGAAAGTGATAAAAACAGGCACTCTCTTAAGCACTTAAAATAGAATTTCAGTAGGCACTCAAAACATTCCCTCCAGATTCATGTAGGATTATAAACAATAGTACCAAAACTTTAGAAACTTTGGACTTATGTTTTCTTCTGTTCATTGTCTGATCACTGCCCATTTACCTGAAATATTACCAGGAAGTCCTATCTCATCAGCATCTGCTCTTGACAAGTTTCCAGCCAGGCAAAAGGCAAAAAAAAATTCAGATTCTCCCTGTAAAAGATTCAGTCTTCCCAGTTCAAGTTCAAAGGATTCAGAAATTTTGGCTGAGGGTGTATTGAAACATATTAACAGTGGGAACCAAAGCAAAGTGATTTCTCAGCCTATTCAGGGCCTACCTCAACTTAAAGTTATCAGTTAAATTTAAAAATTGGCATTTGCTTTCCAGTTACTTTAATCCTATCACCTAAAGCATTTCTAGCAATTGTAGATTGGTGCTGCTGTTAAGTTTAGGCAGTTCAGTTTCCTGACTTTATTTCCTTCAGGCTGAATTTAACTCTTTAATTGGAGAACAATAAAAAGTGTTATCCTGGTGGGGAAAATTTTATTGATGACTATTTCTCTTCTTGAAAATATTTCAATTTGTGTAGCTGCATCTCTTTCTGCCCATCACATCTGCTGTTAGATGCAGAAGAACCAGTGCCCTTTTCAGCTCAGGAGTGTAACAGTCCCCTGTTTTTTATTCCAGGCTGTGTACAGACAGCTGCAATTATAGGGCCAATATTTGGCTTTCTCCTGGGATCCCTCTGTGCCAAACTTTACGTTGACATTGGCTTTGTAGACCTGGGTAAGTCAGAACACTCAGTTTGAAAATCCAGACAGGCTCCAAAAAGCCTATTTTAGGCCAAGAACTCTCTGGTTATCTTCTAGGCACAAGGGGCTAGCAGGGGTAGAGTAGGCACTCTGTGAAATGAAAAAGATGACAGCAGTGTAGTGGTTCCATGCAGAATAGGCTGGCAAGAAGGGTGGGTGTAGAGGAAGAAGGAGGAATGGCTCTTCCTCAGCCCCAGCAGATCTGCAGCAGGTGCCTCCAAGAGATGCTCTGGTAAGGAGGCTCTGGGGAGATAATGGGAGCCAGGAGGAAACAGGACTGAGGCTCAGGATCCTGCCTGTGCTTTTTTAATAGTAGTACTTTTAATAATGTGATTTTTTAATAGGTTGTTGCTGCCTAGAAAAGTGGTTTAGCAGGGGGTACCAAGTCTCCTGATTGCCCTCCTTCTGAGAAATCAGGAAGAAATAAAACCAGGAGGAAAACAATTTTTTTTCCCCGGGGCTTTTGTGCAGAACAGCCTGACTGGGAGCAAGTGAGGGGCCTGCCCCACGTGCTGGTCCTTGCAGCATCTCTGGGGATGTGCAAGTGGCACAGCAGTGTCAGGGCCAGGCTGCTGCTCTGCCCCAGCAATCAGCAAGTCCTCAGTGTGTCCCCACAGCTGCTCCTGTAAAACACCCTTAGTGACACAGAGCACAGCTAAACCTGGCGGCGTGGGGATGGAAAGTCCTTGCAAAACCACATTCCTTATTAGCAGCAAACATTCTCAAAACGTATTTATTTGTTTCCTCTTTTCCACTTTCTCCAGACAGAGTCACAATAAGTCCCAAGGACGTGCAGTGGGTGGGAGCGTGGTGGCTGGGGTACCTGATAGCTGGGGTCATCAGCGTCCTGGCCGGCATCCCCTTCTGGTTCCTGCCCAAGCACCTCCCAAAACCTGAGAGCAGGAAGGACTCCAGCACCTCTTCTGAGCACTCAAAGTTCATTGAGGAGAGCAAGGACCAACCCACATCCTATTGGCAACAAGCGAAGCTGGCAGAGATGGCAAAAGGCAAATCACTTGAGTTTTCTTCCTGATTGTTGAGATTTCCTCTCAAAGGCTTTTAGATTTAAAAGTTTTATGCTTTCTGAGTCCCTATTTTAATGGTCTCAGAATTATGTTTTTTCCCTCAGGTTTCACTCTGCAACTCAATAGGACACACAAAAGGGTCTCTTCAATGTTCTCTGGACTTGTTTTTGCATGAGAATGTCTTTGGCTGAGATTTCTAGAATTACAGTAGTGACCCAGCACGTATCATGAAGCTCTGTAAAAGTTTTATTCAAATGTAGTGACTGTTGCAGAAGTGGTGCTCAAAAGGAAACCAACCCTTGGTTTTTGCTATTTTTTTTCCTGTAAATTGAAGCATTAGGAAAACATATCCAATATCTGATCAGAATATAGACAGGCACAGACCAGCTACAGAATTAGAGGAGGCTCTCTGGATTTAGACAGGAACTGGTTTGCACAATTGCATTTCCTTGGCCATGCTTTGCCAAAAGCATTCTCCCTCAGAACTTGAATCTGTACCTCAATAGATCTGTGCATACTGTCAGCTGTGCTGAGCATTCTTTGCCCCAAATTAAGGTAAACAGTGCTGCAGCTGTTGAGAAGACATAGAAACCACATCATTCCTAGTTTATGATGGAAAGAAGGTATTTAAAACAAGATATTTCTTCTGGGAAATTGATGCTTAGTATTTTGCTCCACTGTTCCTCCACCCAGAAATGGGGGAGCTGTTAGGAGCATCATGGAACTTCACAGATTCCCTCTGAAATGTTTTGCAGTTTTTGATTTTTTGGAAGGTGCACACAGGTTGCAAAGCATTACTCACAGCAGTTATTCTCTCTCTGGCCTGCTGTTTTGTTATTTCTGCTGTTTTGTCTTGCAGAATTCTTGCCATCACTGAAGAACCTCTTTGGGAATCCAGTTTACATTCTGTATTTGTGTGCAAGTATCATTCAGTTCAATTCTTTAATTGGCATGGTGACATATAAGCCAAAGTATATTGAACAACAGTATGGGCAGACATCTTCAAAAACTAACTTTGTTATAGGTAATGCTACATCTGCTTCTTGATTATCTTTACAATGAACATTTTAGGAGTGGCATATACATATAGGAAAAATTGTATGTTTTTTAGGGTATGTTCATTTCTTCTCCTTCCTTGTCTGATTTTAAGTAATAGCTCACAGAAGGTAAGTTATTTCATTTCTGCTTCAGAACTAATTAACTCTGAGTTTATCTATGCAAGAGTTACTGTAAAAGTTTACATGATTGGATATCTTGATTCCCATGTAACTAAATTTGAAAAGTAATATATGTACAACACAAGAAAATAACTGAGAAGTAATTTTAAAACGATTTACATAAATTCATCATCAGACAGATCTGCTGCCTTGACGGCTTCCCATTTATTCCAATGAAATGAAAATCAGTTCAGTGAGTGCTATAGGTGACTCTGAAGAGTTTGGTGTTAAATAAAAGGAATTCAAGTCAGACCCCAGGCTGTTCCATACAACACAAGAGAGAGAAGCTGCTTCAGCCTTTGGGTACAGAGATCAAAATTTGTGTAGCTGACTTCAGGAGGGTGGGCTTCACTGCCCAGTTGCTGAACCTGCATGTGGGGTTCAGCTCCAGAAGTCCAGGGCTTCAACAGCATTAAGCAGCAAAGAGGTTTACATCTACCCAACACAGAGGGAACTGCCTTGTTTTTCAGAGCAGCATTAGTTGCACAGCAACAGAGGTATATATATGCAGAAAAGCTGTAATGATCCATTGTGCTATGTTAATTCCATTAAAGATAGAAGCTGGAATTTCCTGGCACGAAACTCCTCAAAGCAAGGAGAAATCTTCAAGTATAGTTGATGGCCAAAGAAAGTCCAGAAAACAATCCCTACATTCAGTATAGTACTTCTCATTGTATTTAAAGATTTTCTGAGCTAAGCTTTCAGGTATGTGCAAACTGAGTGAGGATTAAGAACCATTTGATTTCTCTGAGCATAGGGACTATATCCAACAGAGTGTGCGATGGTTTGGTTAGGGAAGAATCCTGATGAGTGGCTATCCCTGCCTGCAATAAGCTGATTTTTCTTCCTGCTTTTCCTTTCTCTCCAGATCCACCCCTCCTAAGAAAGCTGAGGGCTGACTCAAACTCAGTCTTTATTTCTCTTTCACAGCCTCTTTTACTCCTTCTTCTTCTTCTTCTTTAAAAAACAGTTTCTATCACAATCTCAGATAGATATCAAAATTGTCAGAGCAATTTGAAGCACTAAAAACAATAAAAAAGGCAGGTCTTGCTCCGGCTTTCATAACATTAGATAAAACTAAATTTGTCCTCTAGGAATCAGCAGATGACTCCACTGACAAACTAATTGTGGAAAAAAAAAACCCACCTAGCTTAAGAAATTGGAAGAGCATTGTCTAAACCTTATCCATAATCTCTCTGTCAAAGAACCAGCAAAGAATTATGTCTTTGGGAGTAAGTTTTTCAAAGCAGTCCCAGCACCTTTGTAGCACTCCAAGGAAATGCCCTGACTGAAGATCTTTTACGTTTTGTTCCTTCATCTGCTTGCTGCAGCTGTTTTTGTGGCTGACAAGGTTAGTCCATTGAGCCGGGGTTTTCATTATTACAGATTTTTCTGTTTGATTTCAGGTCTAATTAACATTCCTGCTGTGGCCTTTGGCATATTCTCTGGAGGACTGATCATGAAAAAATTCGGAATCGGTGTTTTAGGGGCTGCAAAACTTTCCTTGGGATCATCTTTCTTTGGTTACCTTTTGCTCCTCTCGTTGTTTGCGATGGGCTGTGAGAACTCGGACGTGGCCGGGCTGACTGTGTCGTACCACGGGTATGCTGGGAAGGACTGGGAAGGGCTACTGCAAACCAAACTCCTTGCTCATTTTATTTCACAAAGTATATATTGTTGAAAAGAGAGTGACTGACCTGAATACGCTCCCCAGAAATTTGATTCAAATCAGTGGAAACCATTCCATTCCAGCGGGCGTTGTGTCATGACCTTCTCATGGTTACGGCATACACCAGAGGGGTTTATGTCACAAGTGCAGATTATTTTTCTGATTACTTTTTAATTATTATTGCCATGGGACCCATCCTTTGAGCCCAGTAATTCCTGGAAATGCGAGTAGCTCAGTAGGGGGGAAGAGATTCAATGAATTGTTTCTTGCCTTTGTGTGCCACTGAACAATGAATGGCATTTAATAGCCTTTGAACTCAAAACTTAAGGATTCATGATGTTAACCATGAGGATGGTACACCTGAGGCTAGCATTTTTGCCCATGCTATTACTCTGTAAAACTAACTTTTTGGGAGGAGTTTCCAGCACTGACTCACAGCAGCTCTGGTAGCTGCTCCACTGGTGTCTGGTGACTGAATTTGGCAGAGAGCTGTTGTGCAAGGTATCAGACTCTCAGTTTGGATGAATCACATTCTGATAAGTTCCTTGCTAACTTCTACAGAGACCATTTCCCATGGGTAACTCAATCCCTTCTTTGCCACTTGCCTAACTGTGTTAAAACTGCGAAATTGAAACCATAAAAAATCTGAGAAAATGCATGAATATAAATTGTTAGTTGTCCCCCTTAACAAAGTAAATACTATTTCATAGCAGGTGGTGTGATAGTGTGAAAACCTTTGGATTACAGAGAAATAAGGATTTACACTGCTGTGTGGATGTGAAGAGACAACCTTTAATGGGCTACAGAGAGAAGGTGTGGCCAGGTATGCCTGGCAGAGAGCATAACCAGGAGGTGATCGTGATTTCCTCCACATCTCCTGGGCAACACCTTTGCAATTCTCTTTTCCCACAGAAGTAAACCGATGACTGATTACGAGCAAGCCCTGTTTTCAGAGTGCAACTCAGGCTGCTCGTGTTCCAAGGATGACTGGGACCCCATCTGTGGGGAGAATGGAGTTACCTACGTTTCCGCCTGCCTCGCCGGCTGCCAGGCATCCAACGGCAGCGGGAAAAACACCGTAAGGCCATCTTCCATTTCCATAGGAAATGTGACAGGTTTTCCTGATACAGCCAGGTCTGTCAGAGTAAGTGGAATAAGTGTCAGAGTAACTGAGCAGGGCACATCCTCTTCAGCCCTGGACTCCTCAGGGCTTTTTTAGCAATCTGCCACCAACATTTAAAATCTTCTCCCTTGCTGTTGCTGGCAGGAATCACAAGCAGAGAATGCTGGAGGCTTTTTTTTTTTTAGCCGTTGGCTACCAAGACTTTTGGAAAAACCTAATAACTAGATTCATCAATGGTAGATACTTTATGATTTTCTCCTTCATTGAATAAGCCTTTTCCTTTTGCAAAACATTTCCCACTTTGGACTTAAATTTTCAGCCATCCAGAAAAGCTTGTTGTGCAATTTCTAAACATCCACTTCTCCACCATTTAGGTTATCATACATTTTTGCCTGCTCTCTTCCAGGTATTTTTTAACTGCAGCTGCGTGGGAACCTTTGAATCCTCACAAAGCTCCTCTGCTGTGGTGGGACCATGTCAAAAAGGAAATGAGTGTCCCAAAATGTTTCTGTATTTTCTAGTAATATCAGTTATCACTTCATACACTTTGTCAGTAGGTGGCACACCCGGATACATACTGCTTCTAAGGTAAGAAATCGTTTCTGCTAGCTTTGCCAAATGTTTTCAAAGTGTTTTGACACGTGACTGGTACTCCCTCCCCTCCTGGTATTCCTAGTATTGGGAAATGTTTTGCAGCTAGGTGGGATATTCCATATAATTGTTCTCTCCCAGATTATTCTCCTAGTTTTAATGATCGTTTCAGCAAGATATTTCTTTTTCCTGTTGTAATAATCACAGATTTATTGAATGCTTGTCCCAATGCATACTTAACTGCTGGAACTATTTGTCCATCACTGTAAGCTTTGAAGCTAATTTTAGCAAGTGCAAAAGGCATTTAATACTACAAGTGCTTAATCTGGGTTTTTGTCAGCTACTTGCAATTTTTGGATTCCAAGTCCTGCTCTGCTCTGTTTTGGAAACCTTTCTTTCTCAGTTCCTTTTTCCAAATTATTTCCAGATGGGCACATTCTGCTTCTCAAACAAAACAACAGTAAATCCAGTCTAACTAATCTTTAGTATTTTAACTGTGTTTTCTTGCTCCCAAATTCTCTTTGGTTTTGATCTAAATTTTCTGGACCAGGCCCTGTCTCATTGCTGGTATCTTTATGCCACATGGACAAGGCCAGTGTTAGAACTGGCTTAACATCACAGTCCTTGAACCAGAATAAATATTCACACAGAGACTTTCAGAAAAGGCTGAGGTGAGGATCCTTCTCTGCTGCCCTGCACAAACACTGCCAGTGAGGTGTACACAAGCTGCACAGCTTTCTTCATACACCACTGAGTGCTGGAAAACCACGCAGCATCTCTCTCTCCCCAAGGGCTCACTCCAAGAACAATCACACTACAATCCATTTTAGACCATTTTTACTGAAGCTTCTGCACAGCTGAAGTGTCCATGCGCCAAGATGAGGATGATTCATGAGTGGAGAGCTTGCAGCAAAGCCTTCAGGATTTATGCCAGATTGCTCTCTGTGGCTGTTTCTGACATGCTGGATAAATACAGGCATAGAGCTATGCAGGGATGACGTTCCCCTTTCCCTCTACATGATGTCTTCCTTCTATCCATAAAACATATGGTGGAAAATGTACAGATCTGGTACCACAAAATTTGGCCTCAAAATTGTGGTAGCCATATTCTACCTCCTGCTTTCTTCTTGTCTCCACTGCATAAAAAATTAAGTGTTTGGGAGATGTTCATAACTGAACATGTACAAACTTAAATCACATGGAGTTACCTGCCCTTCTCAGCCCTAAGAACTTGCTCTTGGATTTCTAAGTAAATCAATTAAGCAGTAAGACACTTACTGCTTAATCAATTCAGTTAGAAAAGCTTAGAAAGGTTTTCAATTACAATACTAAACCACTTTGTTATATGAAATCAGCAAAACAGTTTTATTGGTTCTGCTCCAGTGCTTTTATTGCTGCAGAAAATCATTTTAGTTCGAGTGACATTTAACTGAAACTGAGAAGTTATTTGTTCTCCTGCTGGATTGAAGGTATCCACCTCTGATGTGCAGCAAAATAAAACATGTCTCAGTAAGTTAAATATTTATTTTTTTTTTCTGCACTGCAAATGACCTGTGGGCACAATTCCACTTTAAGCTCACACTTACTTTTGTCTTTTTTGAAATCCATCACTGAGAGACATTCTCCAAAAATCTGGCAGAATTCAAAGTGAGCTTCTGTTACCAGAAGGAAAATAAATTTTCTTTGAACACAAATAGTCCCAAAGTCAAGTTGCAGAACTTCATTATATATTTTTTTCCCAATGATCTCTTCCAAAAATTATTCAGTATTCAGTCACCTCTGTTAAGATTCCAGCACTTAAGCAAGCTGTTTTCAGATGAGTGGATATCACTGCACCTGCCATGGAGGACAAATACAGCTAAATCCCTAAAAGTTTATAAGATTTAGTGACATTTACCTTGATGGTTTGCACACTGAAGTCATTCAGCTTGCAGCTGGTGACCAAGTCATTTGCTGAAATGTCATTTTGGTGGTATTAGTCTAATTACAGTAGCCAAGGAACTTGGGAAAGCCCTGCAGTTTTTGAGAAAAAAGCCCTGCAGTTCAGATAGCTGTTGTTCAAGCACCAGCTATTAATAGCAGGTGAGTAGGCAGCAAAAAGGAAGTCTAAGATCTCCCTAAGAGGTCTGGCTATCACTCAGGATCACAAAGGACTCCTGTTTCCGTTCAAAGACAATACAAAGAATAAAACAATTTTTTTTTCATGTGAAAGAGGATATTTTTTGCAGTTTATAAATCCTATGAAACCACATCAAATATCCATTTATTTGTTTTATTTTCTACTTTTTGCTTTCTATGCCCTCAGATTTGTTTAGGAGGACTCTTGGCTGAGGAGTGCTTGTAGTAGTAGGAGAGCAACATTCTGTTCTTCCAACTTAAAATCATTTTAGTCATGCTCTCATAGATGGAAGTGCTTGTATAAGCCACAATTGACAGATTGTGTGATGATAATCCATGACCAGGGCATTAGAGAACACAGTGCTGAAAACTACCCCTGGTGGGGAACAATAGAGTTAGTTCTGAAATGTCTTTATTATTTTTTTAAACATATTCCCAATTACATTAATTTTTGCAGGAGCTGAGCCCACCTAGTTCAGACCACACAGACTGTACCTCCAGAGTGCTGTGTTCATCCATAGTGACAAACTGAATTTCAGCCCATTTCATTTTTTCTGATTAATATTGAATAGAATGTGACAAAAGTTTCATTAATTACTGTATCAATATCAATGTTACCCCACATACCAAAAATGTCCTTGTTTAATCATGTGACTGGCACTACTCACCTGCCAAAATCAAACATATAGCCAGATTTGTGCTGGATTAGGTATTGCAGTAGTCAGTCTGGTATGTGCTGGGAGAAACAGCACATTTTGAGGAGCAGGTGATTCCTACAAGTCTGAGAGGCTCCATACACATCCTGCTGATAGCAGGGCTGGGAAAGGCAGCTTCTCTCCTGCCTCTCCCTCCCTCAAGGACCCAGGATGATGATCTAAGTCTGGAGCAGGGCTCATCTGGAGCCAGAAGAATTGGATGTGAGTGTTGGACTCACCCTGCAATCTTAGAAGAGTGCAAATGCAAATGGTCTGCTTTGTCAGAGGATGGCTTGGAGGATGTGCCTTTACGGGAGATGTGATCCTGATCCTAGATAGAGTGCAATGAAAATTGAGTGCCTAAACACCTTGTACCAGCCTTGATCCTGAATTTCAGGGAGTGTCTAACTGAATGAAACCATCCAATGGATGCCTGATTTCACTATCAATTTTCTTGTCCTGTGTTAGTAACACCTAAGTGCTGATATCATCTGAAAATCCACAACCATCTTAAAATGTGATGTTGAATATAGATGTTCAGAATTCCTAGGTGTCATTCTGCTTTTATCACCTCTTTTACATATTTCTGCAATTTGGTCAAAGTACATGACATTAAGGATGAGAAGGTCACATTGCTTTCTCTTGCTTTCTATTTGTGTACTAATTATATACACCTGATGCTTTATTTCTAATTAACACCCTTTTATTATTATTATTATTTTTAGATGCATTAAACCCCACTTGAAATCACTTGCACTTGGTATCTATACCCTGGCAATAAGAGTACTTGGTAAGTCTATTTGTGCTCCTGAGTCAGTTTTAATATACTCCTCAATAATCTTTTATCTTAGAATTAAGCTTTGGTTGTTGGAAAGCGCAATGTCTATCTGCAAAATAAATACCATATGATTAAAAAAAAAAAAGGTTTGAAAAAGGAAATTGCTTTGTACTTCATAAATCACGTAATTATGTCTTAGATATAATTAAACAACACAAGGCCAATATATATAGAGATGTGATCCTGTGGACTATGAAGCTCACATCAAAATTATATCTTGTCTCCTTGCTCAGCAACTATGCAACAGTTATGGCTGAGAATTTGTGATTGCTTTTCAGGCATATATTCATTAGTTTCTAAGGGAATTAATCTGACTACAGGTGTGCCTGGGGGCAGGGTTCACTGCAGCCTTGTGGTAGAGCCACCTGAAATCAAGGGTAACAGGAGATGCCAATGAACTGGAAATTCTAAAATCCTCTAGGTCTTCATGAAAAACAAATTAGCAAGAAGCAAGTCACCTATTTACATGAGCAGAGTTAGATAACTGGATGAAATTACATCAAAACAAGCTGTGAAAGGTGCTCTTCCTTACACCTTTGCAAGCCACAATTTTGTCTCCAGGCTTACTTTCTCCTCCAGCAGCCATGGGTGGCTCCCCAGGTGGCACAGAGCCCAGGATGTCCCCGTCAGCACATGGAAAAAGGCTTCTCCTTTCCATCACCCCCAAGAGCTGCAGTAGGTTTGCCCCTGCCACAGTAGGATCTCAAGATACCTGGAGGATTCCTGCAGCCCCACAGCAGGCTCCCAGCCCCACTGTCTCTGTCCTTTCTCATCCCTCACCCAACACACAGGACATCCCTAAACCCAAGCTGAACAGACCCCATTGCTCTCAAGAAAGAAGTATTTCCTATTTTTTTTTCCCAAAGAAGTCCCGCAGGGTGAGGAAACAAAACCATGGCCAGCACCCCTTCCACAGACTTCCACAGGCTTTTTGATGTTTTGTCATGTTTTCCTGGCTTCCCACAGGGAGGAAAGGGTGGTGTGTGCCTGGGCAGCACAAGGCACGTCTTCTCGAACCAGCAAACAGTGTGGAAGTGTCACTGCTGTTAGAATACACTATTTAATGTTCTGCATGAATGGGCCTCTAGATCAGAACTGATCACCCTGGAAAGTAAATTTCTTTACCTCTATTTGTTAAATACACCCAGCTGGGATTCCAGCCCCAGTGTATTTCGGAGTAGCCATAGATACCACTTGCCTGAAATGGGGAAGCAAAAGATGTGGGGGAAGAGGAGCGTGCAGACTCTATGACTCCAGTGCACTCAGGTAACAGCTCTTCTCCATTCTTTAACTTTTGTTCTTAAAGTACGTCTACACCTGGCACTGGTAGAAGAATTTCTGTTACAAAATTTGAGTGAAGGATTTGAAACCAAATGAAAGACTCTGACTAACAATATTAACAATAATACTCACATTTCACCAGTCTCTTTTGATTCAATCTCTTTTTTGGGGGGGGAGAGGGGCAGATCATCTTGTTCCAGTATCAGCTGAAAATAATTGACACTTAAAAAAAAAAAAGTTGTGTTGAATCTTCAATTTTATGCTAAAGCTTCCCTCAGCTTTCAATATCTCTGCTGTCATACTGAATGTATGTGCGTAAACAAGTTATTAAACCTCACTTTTCTCCATGTTGGAGCTGGATCAAAAAGTGAAAGGCAAAGGTGCCACAAAAGGTGCTTGGCTTATCTAGAAGCTTGTGTGAAGAGTTGTCTTTATCAATTTATTGCTAGACAGTAATTGTCTGAACTGCATTTGTGAAAGGATTCACCAGAAATGAAGAATGGAGTAACAGTGGTAAGAGGAAAATGGGAGAACTGGTTGTCCCTTCTCCCACCACAAGGGAAATAAACATGAGAGGAGGGTACATCTTGCTTTGAAAACTTGAAGGAAAGAGCAAAATCTCAGTTGGGACTGTTTTTGCTAATAAAACATTATGATGTTATTGGTGCTGCTGTTGCTGTCATTATGGCTGTTACCCAAAAATGCCATCAAGTGGTCTTGATATATCGCTGGTTCTGTTTATAAGATGACCAAAAAATAGAGTAACTACCCTAAAATATAAAAATATTCATGCTATTCTTACTGAAGCACGTTGGGGTGGAGGTCAGTCATTGCCTGAGATGCTTTCATGACCACAGACCGCTCTATACCTGACCTGGGCGAGCTGACAAACTCCTCTCTCCAGGGCCATCCCCTTGATTGAAGTGTCCTCACCCAGCCTCACCTGATGAAAGTATGAATGTGTCCTTGATGCCTTCTAGTTGTGCACTGCCTTTGACACAGGCTCTGATCAATGATTTCTCCCTCAGGTATGTGTACCTGGGGCTGACTTTGGTCTTGGGCACCGTGTCCATTTTCTTCAGTGTTGCTGTCCTTTGGGTTCTCCGAAAAAGGTTTTCTCCACAAGATGAGACCCTCTCAGCCAACGGGGAGAGAGGCACCTGTGAGACAAAGAGCAGAAAAGATAATTTTGTCAACAGTGACCGGTTAATCCAGTCAATTTACTGGCCAGAAAAGGAGACCAGACTTTAGGAAAACTGATATCTCCACTGTGATTTCACCCAGTGAGTGGTGTTCCAGGCAAAAATCCATCATCAGAGAAGCAGTATCTTAGCAGCCACCCTGAAAATGTTCACCTTCTTGCAATTTCCACTGTAAACCCCGAAAGCAAGGACCATCAATTTTCAGCATGTGAACAGGTCTAAAAACACTGCTCACCAATTTTCCTGCCGAGTGAGGGGATTTCCTGTGGCTGGGGAGGTGCAGACAAACCGAGACACCGTTTTTGCAGCTGCCCCTCGGCTCCCTCCCTCCTCACGAAGCCGCAAGAGCCGCTGCTGCCCCTGGGTTTCCTCCTGGGTGTGAGGGGTAGAGGAGAGGCTGCCATGCAGCTCCCTCTGCCATGGGACCAGCCAAGACGAGCCGGGGCACAAAACCTGACTGGGTAACCTGGAAGGTGAAGAGATCTCCGGCACGCAGCCCGTCCTTGCAAACAGCGAGGCACAGGGAAGGAGGAAGGTGGTTTTCTGGAAGGACAAATCAGCCACAGGCTCCGGGCACCACGAGAATTTGATCCAGAACACTTAGGATGCCAAGTGTTGTGGTTAGGAATCTGTTTTCCAGTAGCTTTGTTATAGCGCAACAGTCAACAATGGAAGTTCTCAAAAGGACCACGAGAGTACCATCCAAAGGAAACTGGAACGAAAGTAGAGCTTTTTTAGGTTTCCAGCAGTTTCTTGCTAGTACTCAGTGTACTAAATGATTCCATGCACTTTATGATGTAATAACAAAATTATACAAGATACGTATGATTTATATTTTAAAAAGCTATGACAAGACAGCTTGGGAAAAATAAAGTTAATTAAAATTAATTAAAAGACCAGGTGACTTGGGGCTTTTCCTTTTATTTATTGTCATTTCCAGCTGAAATTAAGACATTTTTGGGCTTTGTCAATATATGGTATTAATTATATTTGGGGTGGGGAGTGCAAAGGAGAGTGTTTAATATGAAAAAAGTCTCAAGGAATCTTGGACTGGAAAAGATAATAGCAGCACCTTTAAATATCCTTTAAAGAGACTGGAATTTTTGAGCACATGATGAAAGGATTCATCCTTCACCACATTATTGGCAAAACAAACCCATATCACATCATTTGTGTCCCAGCAGTGACTGTAGGTACCCTGCTGCCTCCCCTGTGGGGTGCATGACAAGGGGCACATGCATAAGAGTGGGATCCACTGGACTTTACCAAAGATCAATGTTTGTCCTGTGGCATTAGGGACCTGCCAAATCCACTCAATAGCAACACCAAGGAGGATGGTGCTTAAGCACCAAATATCTGCAGAAGGTAAGGTTTTAAACCCGTTATTGGGGAAAATGCATTTGTCAGAGGAAGAACCGATGTCACCCCAATTTGCTGCATGGGTGAGTGTTTGGTCAGTGGCCTGGAATATTGGAGACCCAGTCTCCTGTCCCAGATCTTTGTCCTCCCAGGTGAGTGTCAGAGGCTATGGGCAGTGAGGTCCTGGACAGCTGTGGCTGTTCACTGGGCCTTGTGAAGTGGATATTTTGAACTAAACAAACATAATTAAAATAATCTGAAGTTTTATGAATATGGGACTAAGTCAAGAATTGTGCTTGGGGTGAATCACAAAGATTGGCATTCCCATCTCAGGTCTCATTCATTTTCCATCATCATAAAAATAGCAAAGAAAATGTCAAACTGCACCAGCATCCAGGAGTGAGAACAATGCTTGGAGATTTCCATAGTCCCCTAAGGAGGGCACTTCTATAGAAATGAACTGTCAGATCCCATGAGAGAAAGGAGAAACACAACTTATGTGCACACTGGGATAAAAAATGAGAGATATCTGCATTTCACTCAGTGCTTGATGTTGTATGTGTGTCAAAGCAATGGGGGTGATTCCTACTTTGTGAATCAGTCCTGGCAAGGACACTGCTACTCAACAATTATGAAGCTGTCACAGTAGCAGTTCTGCACATGCCTGCCAGCAAGAGGGCCAGGAAAATTCACTGATTGCACCTGGGAGAGAGAAAATTTTCTTCTCAGTATCTGGAAGAATGCTGTGTTTTGGATTCAGTAGGAGAATGATGTCAGTAACACACTGATGTTTTAGTTGTTGCTGAATTGTGTTTACCCCAAGTCAAGGGTTTTCCAGCTTCCCATACTCTGCCAGTGAGAAGCTGCACGAGAAGCTGGGAGGGGGCATGGTCAGGACAGCTGACCCAAACTAGCCAAAAGGGATATTCCCTACCCTGGAATGCCATTTCCAATATATAATCTGGAGGGAATTGGCCAGGAGGAACCAGTGATTGTTAAGGAACAGATTGGATATCAGTCAGCAACCATATCATGCATCAAAAAGTTGTCTTTCTTGGGTTTTGTTTCTATCTTTATTTTTTTTAATCTCCCTTTTCACTGCAATTATTATTATTATTATATTATTATTATTATTATTATTCTATTTTATTTTATTCTAATTATTAAACTGTTCTTAACCCATAGGGTTTACCTTTTTGGTTTTTTTTTCAGTTCTCCTCCCCATCCCTCTGTGAGGGGAGGGTGATGGATATAGCTACACGGTGTTTTGTTGTTGGCTGGGGTTAAATCACAACAGACACTAAAGAAATTAAGAGAAATAAACAGATGCTACTCTAGTTCAAAAAGAAACAAAGACAGAAAATATCAGCTTCATGGGTTATCTCCTGTGGTTATATATTAAGCCTGTACTTAGTGAATAATTCTTTAAAATACAGGCTTTCCTTCCATAACCCATTTTCTTTACACATAGGAATATGAGAAAAATAATTTATTTCAGTAACTCTTATTTGCATTATGTTTCGAAAAAGTCCATTTTTCTCCTCCCATCCTTCAGCAATAGTAATCCTGTAAGTTAGCAAGCAGATATAAACCATTCCCACTCTGAACTATTTTCAAGTTTGCTACTTTATTTTAGTACTTTAAGCAGTACCATGGATGCATGGAAGAGTGTCTGACTACAGACACATATTCTGGACTTGTTATAATACTTGAAAAAATTATCTCAGAACCAGGGTATTTGGGTCTGTCAGCATCTTCCTACCAGAATTCTGCATCTTAAACAATATCTGCAACAGGTGCTGTCTCACAAAGGTGAACAAATCTGGGTCTTTTCCTCTCTTTTTAGAGATGCCAAACCATAACCACGAGACTGCAAAGGAGCAAATGCCTTTCATTTTCAAAGGTGAGATTGCTAAAAGAATTAGCTGAGGTGATTTCCCAGCCTTTGCTATCAGCCTCAGAGGCCAGAGTGGGACTCACATCCTTGTTAAGAAGGTCCCTTGGGCTGTGTGCCGTGTAAAAGGTGGGACATCATAGCAAGGTCCCCACTTGTCACGTGCAGGATGAGGCTGGGGTACCCAGGCCTGGGGCACATGAGCCAAAGGTGCATTTCCTCTCCCACCTCCCAGTAAAAAATGCAGCTCTCAAATGAAATCCTATGTCTTAGTTATAGGCACATCATTTTTAATCATGTCAGGTGGGAACTTTCAAGAACTTCTAACAAATAAAGGAGGCAAAAAAGCAAGATCAGAAGAGTGATCATATATTATATATATATAATTTTTTATCATTATATATATTATATATATATTTATATAGAAATGATATTATTCTATTCTATTATATTATATTACCTAATAAATAATATAATATTATAATAATGATATTATTTATTAATTATATATTATATCTATTAATATATTTTATTAAATATCTATTAACATATTAATATATTAATATGTTGTGCAATATTATATATTATATAGTATTATATGATATTATATTATATATTGTATATGTTATATCATATCTAAGGGAATTACTTAAAAGCAGAGAGCAAGGGGCGTGGCTATCTCAAAAAGAATAAACAGGCTGAATAATTATAAATTACCTCCTTGAAATGCTCAAAATAATGAGTAAGATTGATGTATGAATATTGCAATATTTTGAAATAACAGCACAATTGGTATAACCTGAGAGAAAACAGTGACAGCACCACTTTGGCTGGTTTGACTGATGATGAAACCAACACGCAGCTTAATTCTGCATAACATTGAAAGAAAAGTTACTAAAACTTGCTTCTAGAAGCTATGAAGTGCATAGACTTGCAAGGCTAGGTTATAGGGGTATTTTAAAAGCATTTGCACATAGATAAACATTATTAACAATCATTAATAATCTAGCCTAAAGGCTGTTGCCTAGAAGGATCTTAGATCTGACCCAGTCTGGTTGTCTTTTTTTGTGCCCTGGAGCAGCACAGGCAGTTCTTCATCCAGTGCTAATCAACCTCTAGAAGACAAAAAGTCCATAATTGCTGTAAAAAATGATGAGGGGCAATTTAAATGTGGGGCCCTTTAATGGTGATTTAAAGAGCTCATTAAAAGGACCTTACTTAAGCAACATGTGGCTAATATCAGGAGGTTAGTTAGCCAACAGCTCATCCCAGATTAATACAGTTCATTGAATTTTGAAGAGAGTAAATAAGGAAAGGATTTAGTGGAGAGCACATGGAGCACATTCTCACAGCTGGATGGTGCCCAGGCTCTCCCTCATGGCTGTTGAGCATGGTAAGTTTGAAAGATTGCTGTAGACAAACAGAACCCTCTTGTCGATCCTGTGATGTTGGCACTTCTAAAATAAGTTGTGGAAAAACACAAACTTGTTTAAGTAAAAACCAACCTGTGATAACATTATACAGTCAGCAAAAATCTGTTTGCTTAACTGTGCAGACAGACTGTTTTCCAGTGTCTGGAAATCAAGCAGAATAAAACTACAATAGAATTTTTTTATTTTTTTTTTTAACTAGAACAACAGTCTTTGGGATGTTTCTGAGAGCTGATAGATTTTTCTGTCAGGAAAAAAATCAAGACTCACCCATTCTTGTAAAAGATCTGCTCTAGTGGAACAAGACAGATGAACAGTTT